GACTGAAATCCAGTCAAGAAGCGAGCGCTCAGCCTTGGCACTTAGCGCAATCCCGACACCAGCAACACCCCGAGCTTCGGATGCCGAATCGCCTGACACACGACGGGTGAAGCGTAAGGTTGAGCTTGAATCAGGAGAACGCAGGGAGATAATGGAAGTAGAGTCTTGTATGCGTGTTTCGGAGATATAGCCTACAACTAAATTGAAAGTTTCGAGGGTTCTACCTAAGGCAGCTTGTTGACCGATCTGGTAGAGTGTGCGGACATTGAACGCGGTTAAGTGAAAAGGAGATTTTGGCTTTAGAAATCCCATAACCTCTGATAGTCTGGCCTTGTTTGTAAAACGCTGATTGATATTCGATGGGTGGCGTAAACAGGAGGCACCTGGGATTATTCGGGATTGAGAAGAACTAGTCAGATGGGAAAGATGGGTTTCCAAATGGGTACTTAAGACTTTAGGGCACGGCATACTTCGCGGCAGCCCACACCGACGAAGGGTTTTTTCTTTGGGAACCCTAACCGGAGCCTTCGACTCAAAAGTCTGATCCACAAGGCAGTGGGGCGTAAATCCAACGCGGGAGCGTGAACGAAGCACCCGTGTGGGAGCTTCTTGAGACCTATCATGCAAGGCCTTTGAATTTCGGTTAAGTTTGTTGTTCGTTGGTGCGTTGATTGTCAGTCCGCTTTTCGGGATCGGTCCTTAGCCTCATGCACCCAATGAGTGCATGCATTTGAGTTCAGGCCCAATCCCTGTCGTCCTTACACATTCTCACTTATCTTGTATGCATTACGAGTTCGGCAGCGATCAGTGAAGTTCGCTTCATTGTATTACGCTGTACAATGATGTACCGACCATTGTTATACTGCTTCGAATTTCGCCGAATAGAGACAGAGCCAAACTAATCACGGTAAGTGTCTTTATGATAAGATCCAACCGCCCTCCACCCCCAAAAAATAATGCGATCTTACTAAGGATCCGTAACCTAAGCCTATGGATAACCAAAACACAATCCTCGTGACATGGATGAAAACCGCGATCCAGGAGTCTGTGTTTAATTGACTGAATTTTATATACTTGAGAAGCGTCTCACGCATCTAGGGTGCTCAATATACCCCATCGCTTGGTTGAACCAGCAGCCATCGCGAACCTCTTCTCGAGAAGTGGTCGACCCGATTTCTTCTACTCCCCCTACCCCACAAATGAGTTAGCTGTGCGTGGTTCATCAACCCGGTTAGTCCTGGATATTAGCTTATCGACCTATCATTTTATTAAAAACGCCCTCCCCACGAAAAGCCACAAAGGAATGCCTCTCCAACAAATGGCTTCAGAGGCGCACTTCATGAGAGTATTTCTTGGGACAAGGACGAAGTTTTACCCACCCTCGGGGAAACTGGTGATTTCAAGAGCCCTGTTTATTCTATTTTTCAAGTGATTGGAATACAAAAACTAGTTATCTCAGGCATTCTATAAGAACTACCAGTTACTTCTAATAACCTTTCTATAAGATCCTTGAAATACAGTTACTGATCCGAATATTTCGACTAGGGTATACATGACGATACGTAATAACTTTAGGCTATTATCTTCTGAACAATTCACGTTTTCAAATCGACGCATCGATCAAGGGTTTCGTTGGAATGTGATCTCGTCATGATAGAAAAATCGTATACTTTTCTTACATGTCTTTTGTGTTAGGCAGTCACTCTTGTTTTGTTATTAAAACTACGGTTTATTCGACACATTTTCTTGGTGGATTTAAATCACAGTTGTTGAACAAATTCCAGGATTTGACACCAAACCGTAACCAATTCGCAACGGATAGAGGAAATAAATCATTGATGAAATCATCTGTTTTAAGGATTTTGTTTTATACTCACATTTGCAAAAAGTGTACCACAACTCTGTTAACGTAACTGAGGGGACAGGACAAAATGCGAAAACAATGCACCACTTTCCAAGATGATATTTCTGGTCAAATAATGACTGTGTAAAATGAGACAGATTAGTGAATCAAGGACATACCCCAGAAGTGGCTTGAGAAAAGGGTCTTTGCTCTCTCGACCCTCGTTTGGTTCGTACAGTGTGCTCCAACCGGCCCACATGAACTGACGTAACCGATGTTCGGTCGCTTCAGCCTCGCGATTGGTCCGACTTGGACGTGGTCCACGCGTGGTTGGCCCGGTCAGGTAGGCTAACAATGAGGTAGTTCCACGCTGTTGTATCCACTTCACATCGCACAAATCCATCAGCGTTCGAGTAGCCCGAATCGGCTCGGTCGATGCATGCCCCCAGGCAGCCTCTCCTAATTCGCCGGTAACACCCAGGTAGTTGAGCCACAATTGCCACGCAGTATCCATAAGTCGCTTGCGTCGCACCTCCGATAGATTGAGCATATCGGATAGTTCTTCCGCCTGGCGTCTTAGGATTATCTGTTACAGGCAGGCGGCATGGGAAGGCCAAATTATGTCCGTATTGTGCGCTGTCGTTCGAGCTCTCCCTAACACATGCCCCTCAAAACAAACGACACCATGAGGCTTGTGAGTATTGCAGAAATAGAACATTCTGTGCCACTAATTGTAACAGAGTCGCCAGTGCCACTGTCATGTGGTAAACTGGCTGACCAATTCCCAAATTCTCGTCCACGCTGATGCAGTTTCTCTCAAAATCTGAGCACTGTTAATTTACTTGCATTCGGTATCTTTTTCTCTTCACTGCTCTTTCTCTCTCACACAAACACACACGCACACATACACACTTCCTCTAATTACTCTTTCTCAACCAAAACTACCAAATCGTCACTGGTCCAGTGCTTATACCGCTCATGTTGAACAAATAACCTAATATTCAATGTAAATTGACAAGTTAGTTGTGATGGATAATGACCTGTTACCTCCAAAGGTCTCGATATAGTCGGGGGTGGGTTTCTCCTGTTGTAGCTTGGCATTCTTCCCTTGCACATAGTGAAGTGCTCCCCTATGAGCAAGTGTCTCAAATAGTCTCTGTTAAGGATGTCCTACCCACTGCCTTCTCCATCAAAGTAACTCAGGGCTATAACCGGGTTAGTGAACCACTGGAAGTTCATTTGGCGAAGTTGGCTAAAAAACCTGATTCAAAACCAAACAAGAAGAGGCGCACAAACCACACACGTGTTTTGAGTGTGGCAGTGATCGCCGGCTCAATCTGTCACCTTAGACTTTTGACTACGTCCAAAGGATATATGATCCGAAAAACTGGATATCATCCCCGCATGGATTGCAGTTTTTGCACATGGCCCCACTGTCTTGTGGGTCAGCCTTTGGCTGATGAATTCAAAAAGAAAATTCACCTGTTTTGGTGTGGACAACCAAGCAGCACTACGTTTATCAGCAGATTTTGTAATATTGTAATTATATATATATATATATTCAACGCCAGGGTCGATTTTCCAACCCACAACATAACACAGAATCATAGCAATGAGTCTTTGACACCTGTTCGTCAGGTCTCCTACTCCCTTACATGCAAATGAGATTTGCATTACATAACTCAGTGAAGCCCCAGGAGTTCAGCGTCCGTTCTATCCAAAGTCATAGAATCCATCGTGGCGGATTTCTTGATGGAACAATTAGAGAAATACCACTTTCCCCAGCACGGCATGGATTCCGTCAAAAGAGATCGTGTACTACCAATCTGCTCCTGGCCCGCGATGAATGGACAAAGGCGATCCAGTTGATGTGGTTTACCTGGTTTACCTTCTCCAAAGCGTTCGATCGGGTGAACCACGAAATACTGCTCCGTAAGCTGTACAATTTTGGTATCAGAGGCCTCGCGCTTGATTGGATTGCTGCGTTTCTCCAAAAACGGACTATGTCGGTTCGAGTCTCTAATTCATTGTCCGCCCCCATCGCCGTTTCTCGCGGAGTCCCCCAGGGTTCAGTGCTTGATCAATGACTTTTTCTCTTGTTCATAAACGACCTACCGAATGTCTTAGGACCAAAAACATTATTGTTTGCAGAAGACGTCAAAATCTGGAAGAGTGACAGAAATTCGGGGGTCGCTAGAACTCCAAGAAACACTGAATGCAGCTCACAAATGGTCTATTGAGAACGACATCCAATTTAACGTCTCAAATGTAAGGTGATTTCACTACGCCACCATGAGCGGTTTCCTTATTCACTCGCAAACGAACTACTGCCTCATGCATCAACAGAGGAGGACTTGGGTGTTATAGTCCGCGAAGACCTGAGCTGTTCTGGTAACTGCGCCAAGGCGTCACAAACCGCATTCAACATGTCGGTCTACTAAAACGTGTTTTCGTTTGAACCATCGTTATTCTCACGTTGATTGTCAGCATACATCCGGCCGCATATTGCATATGCCATTCAAACATGGAACCCATGGTTATCACGATGTTTGCCAAGGCTGATAGCGATTGGAAAAAGATAAAGGGTGGTCAAACTAAGACCTGGCATGAGGGTATGAAAACCCTAACCAGGAGACTAGGTCACACAGGCCCCGTTAGGCTCCCTGGCTGGGGACCTCGGGATGATGGTCACCGCTGGTTAGCTACACTGAGTGATATGGCTGGGTGTCGCAAACAGTGGCGCTAGTGCATTCACTCGTTATTCTCCTAACACTACTCACGATGAGACTGCACCTTGACGTGGTGTGATGGCTTGTGCACCTCTATGACCCAACGAGCTACACAGGATGGCTTTTACTGAGCCAAAGATCTAATCATGCCTGGAAAGTCAATGGGTAGAGGTCAGACGAAGTCCAGTCCCCTGGTCCTCCAGGTTGGGTGTTTGACTTGAGTCGGCGTCTCAGTCGATAAAACGTGGTGGAGGAATAATTNGTTGGCGCGCATACAAAAGGCTCGATTGACATTTGCCAACTTGATACATTTGTGGCGCCGTCGCGACATCCGGTTGTCTGTGAAGGGTCGAGTGTATGCTGCAGAAGTTCGGCCAGTCCTTCTCCTACGGTGGCCACTAAGGGAACAGGATAAAAATAGATTGTCGATGTTCGAACACCGCTGTCCACGTAGCATTGCACGTGTCTGGTGGGGTAACCAGACTAGCAATGCTGAGGTTAGGTGT